GGAGAAACTCCCACTTCACGGCCTCTCGAAGCCTTGCAACCACCGCCTCCCCTCCTCCTCCTCTTCACCCTGCCTCCAATCTGCCTTCAATCTGCTTCCCGCTGCCAAATGCCGCCACCAGTGCCTAGGTCCCGGGGGATTGTGCGCGCTCCATCGCAGGAGCCTCTCCAACTGAAGGCCGCACCGGGGCCTAGGGCGCCAAACCTCCTCTCAATAAAATACTCAAAAGCTTTCTTGTTTTCTCGTCTCTCCAAATTGAATAACAGTTGCAGACATCCCATTGTATTGTCTTCATAATGAATGCTTTTGCCTACTCATATATTCTATGTTTTTGTAGTTTTTTTTCTGATGTGTCTTATCAAAACATGAATGTGTGTATGGGGCCGGCTCTCTGCAAGACAACTTTACAGGTACACATAAAGAAACATGAACTTGATACTTCCTTTACCAAAGGAAATCGATGCGGTCTTTGGAGTTTGTCTTTCTCTCTGCAGATTGTCAGAGGAAATTAGAAATCAGGAAAGAAGCATGCAATTGTATACTGTCATTTCACTTTACTTTTAGCCCAGAGCCTCATGCTGCTAACATATACAGTAGTGTCACATGCTGATAACATGTACAGTAGTGTTACATGCTGCTTACATGTACAGTAGTATCACATGCTGATAACATGTACAGTAGTGTCACATGCTGCTTACATGTACAGTAGTATCACATGCTGATAACATGTACAGTAGTATCACATGCTGCTAACATATACAGTAGTGTCACATGCTGCTAACATGTACAGTAGTGTCACATGCTGCTAACATATACAGTAGTGTCACATGCTGCTAACATGTACAGTAGTGCCACATGCTGCTAACATGTACAGTAGTGTCACATGCTGCTAACATATACAGTAGTGTCACATGCTGCTAACATGTACAGTAGTGTCACATGCTGCTAACATGTACAGTAGTATCACATGCTGCTAACATGTACAGTAGTATCACATGCTGCTAACATATACAGTAGTGTCACATGCTGCTAACATGTACAGTAGTGTCACATGCTGCTAACATGTACAGTAGTGTCACATGCTGCTAACATGTACAGTAGTATCACATGCTGCTAACATGTACAGTAGTATCACATGCTGATAACATGTACAGTAGTGTCACATGCTGCTAACATATATAGTAGTATCACATGCTGCTAACATGTACAGTAGTGTCACATGCAGCTAACATGTACAGTAGTGTCACATGCTGCTAACATGTACAGTAGTGTCACATGTTGCTAACATGTACAGTAGTATCACATGCTGCTAACATGTACAGTAGTGTCACATGCTGATAACATGTACAGTAGTGTCACATGCAGCTAACATGTACAGTAGTGTCACATGCTGCTAACATGTACAGTAGTATCACATGCTGATAACATGTACAGTAGTGTCACATGCTGCTAACATATATAGTAGTATCACATGCTGCTAACATGTACAATAGTGTCACATGCAGCTAACATGTACAGTAGTGTCACATGCTGCTAACATGTACAGTAGTATCACATGTTGATAACATGTACAGTAGTGTCACATGCTGATAACATGTACAGTAGTGTCACATGCAGCTAACATGTACAGTAGTGTCACATGCTGCTAACATGTACAATAGTGTCACATGCTGCTAACATGTACAATAGTGTCACATGCTGCTAACATGTACAGTAGTGTCACATGCTGCTTACATGTACAGTAGTATCACATGCTGCTAACATGTACAGTAGTGTCACATGCTGCTAACATGTACAATAGTGTCACATGCAGCTAACATGTACAGTAGTGTCACATGCTGCTAACATGTACAGTAGTGTCACATGCTGCTAACATGTACAATAGTGTCACATGCTGCTAACATGTACAGTAGTGTCACATGCTGCTTACATGTACAGTAGTATCACATGCTGCTAACATGTACAGTAGTATCACATGCTGCTAACATATATAGTAGTATCACATGCTGCTAACATATACAGTAGTGTCACATGCTGCTAACATGTACAGTAGTGTCACATGCTGCTAACATGTACAGTAGTATCACATGGTGATAACATGTACAGTAGTGTCACATGCTGCTAACATGTACAGTAGTGTCACATGCTGCTAACATGTACAGTAGTGTCACATGTTGCTAACATGTACAATAGTGTCACATGCTGCTAACATATATAGTAGTATCACATGCTTCTAACATATACAGTAGTGTCACATGCTGCTAACATGTACAGTAGTGTCACATGCTTCTAACATATACAGTAGTGTCACATGCTGCTAACATGTACAGTAGTGTCACATGCTGCTAACATGTACAGTAGTGTCACCTGCTGCTAACATGTACAGTAGTATCACATGCTGCTAACATGTACAGTAGTATCACATGCTGCTAACATGTACAGTAGTGTCACATGCTGCTAACATGTACAGTAGTGTCACATGCTGCTAACATATACAGTAGTGTCACATGCTGCTTAGATGTACAGTAGTGTCACATGCTGATAACATGTACAGTAGTGTCACATGCTGCTAACATATATAGTAGTATCACATGCTGCTAACATGTACAGTAGTGTCACATGCAGCTAACATGTACAGTAGTGTCACATGCTGCTAACATGTACAGTAGTGTCACATGTTGCTAACATGTACAGTAGTATCACATGCTGCTAACATGTACAGTAGTGTCACATGCTGATAACATGTACAGTAGTGTCACATGCAGCTAACATGTACAGTAGTGTCACATGCTGCTAACATGTACAGTAGTATCACATGCTGATAACATGTACAGTAGTGTCACATGCTGCTAACATATATAGTAGTATCACATGCTGCTAACATGTACAATAGTGTCACATGCAGCTAACATGTACAGTAGTGTCACATGCTGCTAACATGTACAGTAGTATCACATGTTGATAACATGTACAGTAGTGTCACATGCTGCTAACATATACAGTAGTGTCACATGCAGCTAACATATACAGTAGTGTCACATACTGCTTAGATGTACAGTAGTATCACATGCTGATAACATGTACAGTAGAGTCACATGCTGCTTACATGTACAGTAGTATCACATGCTGATAACATATACAGTAGTGTCACATGCTGCTAACATGTACAGTAGTGTCACATGCTGCTAACATGTACAGTAGTGTCACATGCTGCTTACATGTACAGTAGTGTCACATGCTGCTTACATGTACAGTAGTATCACATGCTGCTAACATGTACAGTAGTGTCACATGCTGCTTAGATGTACAGTAGTGTCACATGCTGCTAACATGTACAGTAGTGTCACATACTGCTTAGATGTACAGTAGTATCACATGCTGATAATATATACAGTAGTGTCACATGCTTCTAACATATACAGTAGTGTCACATGCTGCTTAGATGTACAGTAGTATCACATGCTGCTTACATGTACAGTAGTGTCACATGCTGCTAACATGTACAGTAGTGTCACATGCTGCTAACATGTACAGTAGTATCACATGCTGCTAACATGTACAGTAGTGTCACATGCTGCTAACATGTACAGTAGTGTCACATGCTGCTTACATGTACAGTAGTGTCACATGCTGCTTACATGTACAGTAGTATCACATGCTGCTAACATGTACAGTAGTGTCACATGCTGCTTAGATGTACAGTAGTGTCACATGCTGCTAACATGTACAGTAGTGTCACATGCTGCTAACATGTACAGTAGTGTCACATGCTGCTAACATGTACAGTAGTGTCACATGCTGATAACATGTACAGTAGTGTCACATGCTGCTAACATATACAGTAGTGTCACATGCAGCTAACATATACAGTAGTGTCACATGCTGCTTACATGTACAGTAGTGTCACATGCTGCTAACATATACAGTAGTGTCACATGCTGCTAACATGTACAGTAGTGTCACATGTTTCTGACTTATTACTTAGATATTCTTGCACTAGAGTGTATTACACATATACATACATATGTGTCCCACTGAAGTCTTCTGTCGTTGTGTCCCTGGGCAAGACACTTAACCCTTCTTTGCCTGAAGCCCCCACTTAAAGGCCATGGCTTCGTTTGCAGGAGGATCAAACAGGGTATTGTGCTTTGAAGACGGGGTGGCATCTCTGACTGCCACCTCCCCAACCAGGCCGTGGAATAATAAAGGAGATGAACACGACATGACACATACACGCACATGCAGCATATTTTTTGCACTAGAGAATGCAAGACACCTCATATGTGCATACTTTTATACTTTGTTTCTTTATCAAGCTAAAGATTGAGTTTTCGTTAATGTATTATATTAAGGGAGGCCGCATTTCAAATTTATGAAGCTAAAATCGAGAACCATCTTCCTGAATATGTGAGACAGGCTTCTACACTGACAATGATCGTATCCAGGTTATCAACAGATCTGTTTAGCCGTGGATAAGTTGTATCACTCTTTTTCATGTACTGTGATTATTTATGATTTGATTTGTTTCTATGCTTTGTGAAGCACTTTGAGTTGTCTTGTGTATAAACTGTGCTATACAAATAAACTTGCCTTGTGTGCTACTCATACTGTCCTGTAACTTGGGATGCAACTCTGACATTTCCCCACTGTATCTATAGAATAAAGGCTCTCTCTCAATCTCCCAATCTCTATAGGGGCCCCCCAGCTTCACAAACACTCCCATCATATGTACTTCAAAACATGGGGTCTCATACAGATCCAATTCGATTCTTTTGATTATTTTATCGAGTTCTGGAGGCGTTTTAACAGACAAATCCCGGTGTGGGAAGGGGTTAAAGCATTCTGCGCTCACGTGGTCCGCCCTGCCCAGCGCAACAGTGCTGCTACATCAGCGAGAGCAGTGTCAGAGGAGGCGCTGAGATGCTGCCACTGCCACCACCACCTCCACCACCACCACCGCTGATGCTGCTGATGCTGATGCTGCTGTGATTTCTCCGGAGCGCGTTGTGGAGCCTCATCCTCTGTCGTCGGAGAGATTTTCCTCACACAAACCTCTTGACGTCTCCCCCCCTTTTCTCTCCCCCCTTCTAAAAAACAAGACCACACCACTTAAGAGTCTGCTGTGGTTGCGCGTTTCCCCCATCACATCCAAAGGTAAGTCATCCACACCATATGTACATGTGTATATAATTAAATGTATAGAGAGAGAGAGAGAGAGAGAAAGACAGAGAGAGAGAGACAGAGAGACTCATTTTACAGTCTGTATACACTGCGCGCCCTGCGTCTGGGTTGATGAGGTGTAACGTGACTTGTGGCTGAAGTATATGGACAAGGAGACGTCAGTGAAGGGCAGAGTTATCAGCTGTTGACAGTGGAGGAAAGAGGCTGCTGTGAAAAGTCAAACAGGTCAGTCTCATCTTCTCCTCCAGAGCAAGCGAAGCGGCGCGTCATGTTTATGGCTCCGGCCTGTATACGTGCATCGTGCGTTAAACTTTTTTCCTGTATTTTTTGCATTACATGTGATCTTTTTTTCAAGCGCACGTATTGTATGTGTATGTGTATGTCCAATAGATTTATGGCATGACATTTAAAGGTGTTTGCCGTCTGACAATTAGGCGAAGTCATTCCATCACGCGGGTTACCACAATAATATCTTAAGCGTGTGCTCTCGGTGGTTTGTGTAAGTGATTATTTCATTATTATGATTCAGGCTCTGTCTTTAAATCCTGTTTTTGTTTGTGAGGAAAATGATACAGTAGAATTACATGTTCAAGATATAAGCTTTAAAAAGTGATATTAATTATGGGTCTCTTTTCCCCAAACAGATCTTATAATGAAGTCTAGGGTTGACACACCTGACCGTGGAAAGCACGTTGAAACCTTTCATCTGATTTGAAGAGGACAACATGACCATGCAGTGTCTCGGGTGAACCTTTCCTTTGTGGCTCTCGTAGTGAGGACACAGTGCTGCAATCATGGATTCTGATAAGCTTTGTGCAGAGATGTGTGCGCAGGGACCCCCACTGGGCTCTGCCTGTAAGCGGCCGCTCAGTCAATGTCTACGGAAAAAGCTGAGACCGGTGCGGATCCTGGGCTTGGTCATCAGTCTTCTGGCCCTAAGTGTTGTCTCCCTCAGTGCCTTGAGCTGGACTTCAGGTAGCCTCAGTGACCCAGCACTGCCTCAAGACACTCTTAGTCAGACAGCCCCCCACAGGACTCTACTTTTCACACAAAATCAGAGAGACCCCAATGTATCAGTAGACATGCCAATGGCCATGAAATCTACAGCCAATAGCAACAATAGCCAAGGTGATTACCCTCCGGACATATTCTCCCTGGTGACCCGGCGCAGGGGAGCCGTGGTCCTTCACATGTTCGGCATGATCTACATGTTCATTGCCTTAGCCATAGTGTGCGATGAGTTTTTTGTCCCAGCACTGACAGTCATCACAGAGAAACTGGCGATCTCAGATGACGTAGCAGGAGCCACCTTCATGGCAGCAGGCGGCTCTGCTCCGGAGCTCTTCACCTCCATCATCGGAGTCTTCATCTCACACAGTAACGTCGGAATCGGGACCATCGTGGGCTCGGCCGTCTTCAACATTCTCTTCGTCATTGGGATGTGTGCCATCTTCTCTAAGGAGATCCTCAACTTGACCTGGTGGCCTCTGTTTAGGGATGTCTCCTTCTACATCTTGGACCTTATAATGCTCATCATCTTCTTCCTGGATAACATAATCGCCGTCTGGGAAAGTGTTATACTGCTCTCTGCGTACGCCGCCTACGTCATCTTCATGAAGTGCAACGGGAGCGTGGAGAAGTTCGTCAAAAATTGCATGAACAGAAATCAAGTGGTGGAAGTGGAGGTGCAGCCCAAGGTGAGTTGGTTTCATCAACTTTAGTTCTAGATATGTTTATGTTCCCTTGTGTTGTGTCTAGTACAGAGCGGAAACACTAATCAGATTCCTTTACATCTCGAGACAAATCCTGAGCCCTTATCTTTAGGTCAGATGTGTCAAACTGGTTCCAGAATGGGCCAATGTGGCTGTAGGTTTTAGATCCATAGAAGCAGGAGCACAGCAGACTTCAGATAGATAGATAGATAGATAGCGTTACAGTTATGATTGAGGGGAAGCCTCGACTCACTTGAGGACATGGTCTGGTGTGCTCCTGTTTGGTTGGAACTTACACATCTACAGCTACACCGGTCCTTTCTAGAACCAATTTGACACCCCTTGCGACAAACGGTGAAATTGAAACATGGCTGACCTGTGTGCATTAAAGGTATATAGGAGGATTTTCTACTTCCGGGTGGATTGGTCCTCCGAGCTGTCAATCATTCTGGTGATACTTGCTCGTCAAATAAGACCAGAGAGTTTTGTTAAAAAAGTGGAGAGGGCGGTTCTTTCCGAACATTTGGGAAAATCCTCTTTTATAGCTTTAATGTGATTGCGTCCATTTCTCTGATCCGCACTATATTCCACAGTGAGGTTAATAATAAACCGGTCAAATGTGTTAGTCAGGGTTTAATTTAATTTAGTTTAGTTTATCAAGATCCCCATTATTCACGAAGGGGTAGTGGCCATTCATCCTGGAACTCATCATAATCATGACATGCTCTTATACAAAAATGTGTTACAAACTTTATTTATAATACATACATACAGAACATCCTCTCATGCACATAGACAAAGCTCAATGGAAAAACAGGTACGAACAATGTAAAAGGATTAAGATGAAGAGGGGGAAATTTCAGTAATAAAAATGTTTACCGTGGCGTACTGTATGTTCTAGTGCAAGAGTAATAACATAAAATAATAATAATAATGTAATGACAAAGCACCTATAACAAAACACATACATTTACATACATATATATACACGACACATACAGAAACTTCATCAGAAATAATCAAATTGTGCAAATGTCTTGTTTTTCATGGTAGCAAATGAACAAAAAAAATGGATTGCCAGAACGTTTTTTCTCCGGAGACGGGTTAATTAAAGCTTATAAAATTATGTTCTCTCAAATCAGGGCACATCCAAACACAGAACCTTCCAACACAAACCTTCACTTTTCAGGTTTTTCGACAAATGGGTAAATACATGGGAACAGGAAGCTGGTCTGACACCGCACGGAGAGAGAGAGGGCTTTGCTTCCATGTACGCGTCATGTGTGGAGATTATCGGGAAGGATTTAGTCGTATTTATGACATGAGATGGAAAATGAAAAAATTTAGTCACATCATGAGGAGTTTAAGAAGCCTGGATTTACTTTGGGGGATATAGCAATAATGCAAGTTATATTTGATTTTCTGTTGTTGTAAAAAAAAAAAAAGACTGTTTACTCTGAGGTGACCTTGAGTAGCAAAACTGCATTGGAAACTGTTTTGGAAGGAAAACCCATATTCTGTCCTTTGTGAATTTTGACCAAGGCATGAGTCTTAGCACAGAATAAATACACATACAACTATATATTTCTTACAGTAGCATATACAGCTTTTTGTACTTGCTTCGTTTTTATGCTAAAGTTAAAGATTTTATTATATTTTAGTATAGAGTTTTTGTCCGTTTTTGTTGTGTTGTGTGCTAAAATTTACCTGCTGTGGGACAAAAACAAAATCTTTTAATCTTAAAAAGAGACCTTATACTTTGTGCTAAGATCGGCGTTGTTGATATGGGATGTCGGTTGGCCTTTCAAAGACTCGATCCATAAGTTTAATAGGTAGCAACATGTTAATTAAATGTCACCACCTAAACATTATTGTAATTAACCGTTGACATCATGGGTTTGTAACTGCAGCGCTGGTTTGAGGTTGAATTTGCATACATTACCACAACGAAGAGTCCATAGTGATATAGTTTCCTCTCTTATATGTGAGTAACTACAGTGAGAATAGTCTAAGGCAGTGTTCCCCAACCTTTTTAAGCCCTGGCATGGATTTTCTTTATTGAAAATATGGCCCACGACCAGCTGCAACTGAGACAAACAGGAAAATATGCAGCCTTAATCAACAGCACCACATCCGTCTCGAGTGGCATTATATAGAACAGACATGTCTAACTCAGGCTCGAAGGCCAAATCCAGCCCCGCGAGACTATTTTTAGAAGTGATTTTCAATTATCATTATTACAGTAATTTGATGGTAAAGGGATGCTGTGGTGTGTTATATCAATCAATCAATCAACGTTTATTTGTAGAGCGTCTTTCCTACACAAGGCAACGCAAAGCGCCTCACAACCCATATCACATCATGCATAAATCATCAAACATTAGAATTTAAGTAAACATTCAAAGACAGATTAAGAGCACAAGATATATTAAAAACATAAAAAATAAAATCACACAAGGGATTAAAATCATAAATAGTCATAGCGCATTAAAAAGATTAAAGATAAAAACAAATGTAAAATCATTCACTTGTATGCACAGCTAAATATACATCGTTTAAAAGCTTATTTTAAAAGCACCCAAATAATTGAATCTCTCCTAAAAATGTTAGCTAACATAAATTTAGAAGTTAGGTAAGGCCAAATAATATTTTTTATTTATATTTAACTGTGAATCTTTTTATATTTGGTCCAGATGTGATTCAATTCAAATTTACAAGAAAATAATCAGAATCAGATTCCTTTTTATTGCCATGTGAGTAACAGGAAGTCACAAACTATGAAAATAAAATAACCTCCAAACTCCTGTCAAATAAAATGTATTTGTCAAATAAATAAATAAATCTTATGTTTTTTTATCTTGGCCCCGACCAAAATGAGTTTGACACCTCTGATGTAGAGGGTCAAAAAGCACAAAATCTCTGTGTAATATTCTCACATTATTTTCTTTTCACATTATTCTGAGCAGTTAGTTGGATCATCGTGATGTCGAGTCACACTGGTTGAAAAGAAACACGTCTAAATATTTTTTTCCCCCTTGCTGGACTAAACTGAACTCTTCGTGTACATGTGTAGTTGTTTGATTGTTGAAAACATTCAGACTTGGGATGTGTCAATAGTAAGTTAGAGCTCGCCTGGATATGAAAACCTGCTGATATCATTACACAGAGATTCAAACATGTTTAGACTTATTGGTTTTGGCAGAATGCACAGATCCAACTTTGTCACTTCTGATTCAGGAAAAGTCAACACTCTACATGTGAAACTCGGTAAAGCAGAATCTCGTTCCGAAGTGAGTTTATTTCTGTGCCTGGGCGACACAGCGGTTAGAGCTCGTGCTTCCTGGGTTCGATTCCACCTCCAGACAAGGCCTTTCTGTGTGGAGTTTGCATGTTCTCCCCGTGTCTGTGTAGGATTCCGCAGGGTGCTCTGGTTTCCCCTATATTACTAACAAAATGAACAATAGGTCAAATCCTCCAGCTGTGGTCCTGACCCACAACAACTAGGCTGATCACTGCTCCTGATAGAGGCCCTCGTGGCATTGCATGATGGGTCACATACAGATGTATGATAACCAATATATAGATAAATAGACAGATAGATGGATAGATACTTTTTTGGTCTCCCGGTAGAAGCAATGTAGCTAACAATAGTATTAAAATGCCACAGCACTTTAGGTCCCAGCAGCAGAGGCGGTGCATATAGACTTAGAGACAGTCCATTTTCTGAGATGTTTTATTTGGGGTTTCTACAGCTGTGAGCTAATTAAAAACATAATAATAAAACATGGATCGACATATCTCACTTATATCGAGCCTTATTTTGTGAGTATGTGTAATGAGTCTGTTATATATTACTTTCACATTGTAGTTTGAATAAGAAAAGTACTTTTTAACAATATTAGAATTTTCCCAGATTCACATTTATATACAGTATAAATAACCAAATTGGGATTGAAGTTGGCTTTTTAGCTTCAAGTCACTTTGAGATTGGTGTGCATCTCGCCCTGTCACAATAACTGATTTGGATGGACTAGTTATTGATTCAGAAAGTGATTGAGACAAACGACAATATCTAGACTACTTGATTGTCACTGATGCTTAGTACGATAAAGACGGATAATCCCAGTACTGCAATGAAGTGTTATTTTGTCTTTTGGTTTTTCAATACCAGACATTTTGAAGATGGCGATGTTATTAGCTTTTAGTTTAGTTATTGACATGTTTCGAAGCGTCTCGTGAGCTTTAAATAGCATTGCGTTCTTACGATTGTCCAGTAAGATATACTGAGAAGACAAGATATACAGTAGCTTCCTAAAGTAATTTTTAGCCATATTGAACCAGCTATAGCAAAAATGTCATAGTTTACATCAAAAATATCAAAAATTTCTCTACTTTTGCGGGGTTTTAAAAAAAAATATCGTTCAAAAGTCCATTCACTTTTGCAAATAAACTTAAAATGCAAGACCAGTATAGACAGACTCACACATCAAGCCGTTATTTGTTTTAATGTTGATATTTGGCTCATAGCTTGTAAAAACCCCAAATAAAACTTATCTGAAAAGTATATTATTGTGAAAATTGACTGTAAGCCATAATCATCCACATTATAACAAACAAAGGCGTTTGTCACTCTGCAGGTAATGAGACCGCATCATATATTGGTTTCACAATTAAAGTTGAATGACAAATAAATGCACTTTCGAACGATATTTTCGTAGCTTCCGAGTTTCAAAATGGATGCCCAAAATGTATATATATATATTTTATACCATTTATATTGTTGCGTTTTTCAACATAATCCCATTCAGACATATGGAACAAAAGCGAAACAACTAAACAAAGGTTGGTCACACCAAAGCTCACTCAAGCTGTCGTCACACAAAATATACACTTTTACTCAACACTCACCGACATTTATGAACTTAAGTCATCTGCTCTTTATGGACCAATGTGTTTTCAATCATTTCATTTCCTGTATTTGAACT